TGAAAAATCCTTTCAAATCCGTAGTGTATTAGCATATGTACTTTAGTTATATAAAAGGACTTTTTATTCTACACAGCCAAAAAAAAGTTAAGTGTATTTGAAAAAAATAGGTAAAACAGACCACTTTAGGATCCCTCGATTTTTATAACGAAATTTAATCGATATAAACATTCAGCGTATTGAAATGTTGCGAGCAAATAATGATTTCGCGTTTGATTTTCATTAGAAGAAACTTAACTCGAAATACACAATGAAGGTTAAATGCGATAATGTTCCGATAAAATTCACCCGCACATATATTTATAAATTTATTTATGAGCGCGGAGTATTAATGCCGAAAGCGCACTCGTGGAGCATGATAGGCCAATCAAAGTGCAATATTAGATTGTATCCGGATTGATGGATAGGTCGAACGTTTCTTGATGCAAGGCGCTAAGTCCCCCGTCAAAGATGACCAACAAAGGATTTAGTGCCGGCGGCATGATATTAGGTATTAATGGCCGAAACTTCCATCTAATACGCCGGACATCATAGAGCCCGCTCCCTACGTTGCATAAGACAGGTCGTATCTAGCCGGGTCCGAAGGCTGACCAGCGTCCACCTTAATCTAGGGACGTATAGTTTTCATTAAGGCGCCCCCCCATCCTTGCGTCGTCTTTGTACCGGGATCAGCTGGTTTAAGGTGGGCTTTTACGCCGCAGGATTTAATCGCGGGGACATCGTATTACGCGCTCTGTTTATTACCGACGCGTCCGCCGTCTCGACGCGAGTCGGCGAATAACACTCACTGCCGAATATGACGAAAGCGCCCGTTCTATTTGCGAATCTCAGTTTTCGCAAACGTGACGCTGGGAATTAATTTATTTGACATTTTTATCTGGAAAATGAATCAAGAAGGAGATTTTAATTAAAAATATAATTCCCGGATATTAATTAATATTAATAATAACGGATTAATTGAAGATAACATTTTTATATACACCGAAGAGGATTACATTAATTACCGAAACATTTGTCAACATTTATTAATACAGATTATTTTGCATAAATAATTGACATTGGTCTAATAATCCACATATTCTTAGATAAATTGATTTTGTAATCCATTGGGCCTGATTTATACATTATATTGTTTAAATAATTTTTATCTGTCACGACAAAACGCTCGTCAGAAGTCAGTTTATCGCGAGAAACGCGAAAAAAGAAATGGAAGAGGTGGCAACCACTCATCCGCGAAATCTTTAATCTCTGCAACCGCAAAGACATTTCTCATTTCTGGTGCAGGTCCTATCGGGTTTCCGGTTATCTCCCCGCACGACGGAAGCGTCATGCCGCTTCGTCTTTGACAGCTCTCGTCGAAAGATAAGATTCATCCGAAGGGCAACCCTTGAAGAAGTGAAACCAGTTTCTCTCGATGGTTCTTTTTCATTTACGACGGCTTCATCTCGCGTTTTGCGTTAGCGATTTCTCGTATTGTTAAATCTTGCAGCAACATCCACTTAACTTTTATTTCAGTTATACCACTTGTCATAATATTTATTTATTTAAAGTTTAATATTAAAATTTAAAAAGTATTTGAAAAATAATCTCTATATGTAATTTTGCTAATAAAAAATTAATTTTAAACTTGAGTAGTAATTGAGAAAATTTAAATATAAAATTACATAAATTTCATTACAAAGATAAGAATATAAATATATAAAATAAATTTCATTGATTGAATATATGATGAATTAAAAAATCATTGTCTCACAAGACAAATATATAATTCTTATTAAAATTATTGTAGCAAAAATAGTATGCATACTTATATTACAAATATGTTGTAAAAGAAAATAATTAATTAAAGAAGAAGTGTTAGATTCTTCTTTTTCATAAAAGTGTCATCTTTTGTGGCCGAATGCATTTAAAATACGTAATGTGCCTAAGGAGCTTTCGACTTCGCAAATTAACAGAAAGCTTAGTTCTGCACCGAGGCGGTGGTGCAGATACAAGATAAAAAGTTAGAACATATTTTTCAACACCCCGCTATCGCCCACTCCGCACACCGTGGCGATAATAGCTACGTTCGGCGCGCAAAGTGCGATTCGAAGGGGGGTCGCGGCCAAGAGAATCCCCGCCGAATATTTCTTTTCGCGTCGTCTTCAACCCTCGTTTCTGCGCACGAAATGATTACCGGCGTGCTTCGAGATTACTGAGGATCTTTCTAAATCACTGGCGGGAAAAAGCACGCGCCATTTAGATTCATCGACAGTGACGTTTCCGTTGCCATATCGGTGTGCCCGAATGCGATTAAGCAGAGCGGCGAAGGGAGAAGTAAAATGAATTTAATTTCTCGGCGAACTGAAGTGGGGACCGAAAATTTGGGTATTAAGAGGACCCTTCAAACTCTCGGTATTGTTTAAGATTTTTTCGATGATTCGTCGAATGAGTAAGTTGAAAAAACTTATTAGCGTTTGTATAAAATCATAGTACAGTTAAAGATATTGTAAAATCTTTCACAAAGAGTTTATGAATTGCGATCGATTCACGCGGGGCCGCATTGTGTGCGTCCGCAACTTAATTTAACCGAATTGCACTCTCGCGCTTGTCAATGAAGTATGTGAATAAGTTACGGGCCTCTCTTTGATATCTTTATCTAACATAAAACACTATGCGAATGAGCGCGAACTCTGCGCGCCCGGAGCTCGTAGTCCTAAGGTTTCTTCTTCGTCTTGGTGACTCGGTAATCCAAGACGTCTCGGCTTAATCTTTCGAAATCGAATCAAGCTACAAGAAGCCACGTTTAAATCGTCCGAATAATGCTATTTTTCTCGACCGATTTGCGCGCGTCGATTGGGCCGATGTGCGCGTAATTGAAAAAATCCGTTTTGCATATCTAAAGAAGTAAATGAACGCGCACGCGTGATATCCACGTCTAGTTGCGCGTGTGGTAGAATTTGCGATTCCTGGAAGTCGGCCGTTTCCGTTTGCAGAACTTAGCCTAAGCGTGTGTAGCAGAAGGAAAGTGTGGGTGTTTTCGGTATCTGAAGCTGATCCGGCGGATGTCGGTCTTTGCAGATAAGCGGCCAGCTCTTTCGAAGTCTTTATCTCCGACACTCGTCCTCTCCCCTTCTCTCTCTTTTCCCACTCTCGGACTTCCCTCTCCTAGCTCTTCCGCGTCAGCTTTTATTTTCCTTTCACTAATGAGCTGTTCTGTTCATCTTATTCATCTGATTGTGAGTTTTTTGTGTCATTGGATTAATGTTTATCGAGATTTGTACTTTATTTACTGTGCTGCTTGTGTGTATTTAGTGTATTTGTGTGTATTTAGTGTTAGATCGAATTAATCGTTAAGTTGTTATTATATTTATATAATTAATAATAATTATAAAACATTTAATTTTTTTTTTTATTAACATACATTGATCACAATACATTAAATTTTATGCTTCCGCTAGAAGCAAAAAATTATCGATAAAAGATCGTTTAATATTTTTTTCGACTTGGATTTTTCAGAAGAGTATTGAAGGCGACGCATTTTTATCAAAAATGCCGGCCTTAAAATAAATACGTTAGTGTAATATTTTTCTACGAGTACTTCTGATACTCCCATTTGCCATTTATTTATGACTGGCCGATTAAGAATATCGGATATCGATAGCTTTCAGCATTTCTATTCGCGCATGC